GAAATGAAATGGAGTATTATATCCTACTGTTCTGTATCTTATTGGACTAATGAAATGAAATGGAGTATTATATCCTACTGTTCTGTATCTTATTGGACTAATGAAATGAAATGGAGTATTATATCCTACTGTTCTGTATATTATTGGACTATTGAAATGAAATGGAGTATTATATTCTACTGTTCTGTATCTTATTGGACTAATGAAATGAAATGGAGTATTATATCCTACTGTTTTGCTCCTATCTGGACTGTAAGAAAGAAATCGTGGAACATCACAATGTATCAACCTACCAATGGTTTATATAATGAAATATTTTATAAAGTTCCAGTCTGTTTTGAAATCCATCAGCTTTAGGAATAACCCCATGATAGGCCTGGAAAAACTCGGGTTCAAATTTACCATAAATATGAGCTATGGCCAGATCGTATTCAGCATGGCCGTAAAATGACGCCGGGTCGTAGATAACTGAAATAGTTTTAGAATAAGATAAACACTTTTGTTCTGGCCCGCCTAAATCTGCTTAATTTGTCAGACTACTAAAATCTCCGATAAATCGATGGGCAGTCCCAACCCCCACCCCCTTTCTCTCTCGTGAAAATTCTGACCGAGGACGTCGATAACATCCTAGCCCCCAGTCCCAACCCCCACCCCCTCTCTTCACCCAGAAAGAAATCTAGAAAGAAACCAATAATCTTACCGGGACCATGTAACGACTCCGATGCGTTTCCAAAATAAAGATCACCATGTAGAAGAGCAGGATGTATCTCTAGACCAGTAAATAATTTAGGTATCCCTGGTAACAGAGTATTCCATAAATCACGGATTTTTCTATATATCCTATTATACTGTAAGTAAACGAGATAGAGTTTAACGTCCTACTTTTCTACTTTTTTTACAGGTAGAAAATGGAATAGAGTTATGCGTTATACGTATGAACTGAAAATAGAACAGGTACTGTGTGCGGTGCTGGAATAGCAAGTTCTAGCCTGTAGCGACAACCCTGCATTGGACACCGGACACCTCATTGCACCTTTATTTCATATGACAAGACTAGTGTTCTGTAGCCTATTCTGTAGAAAATGAAGCAGAATTCGACATTCCAATTAAAGAGACACCATCCCTTTGACCAATCGCATTTGGACTCAGAAACGGGAAAATTTTAGCTAAGGATATCAGTAATAGTGTTCACAGCTCAGCTTCGAAATGTTAGCCTTCAAATCCACGTGTGTCCAGAATTATCTGTGTTTGAAAGTTAAAATATATATAGAAATAAATATATAGAGAGTGGATAATGGCAAGGAAAAGCGATATACCTCTCTTCTATCTATACTATCTATCTGTGCCTCTATTTTTCCACAATAAAAATTCAACCAATCGGAAGACCAGGAATTAGACTGAGGTAAATATCCACAACAAGTCGGAACTTCAAAACCAAACTGATCTACATAATTCACTGTTTCTTGTTTTCCTACAAAACTTTCTGTCTTTTCCTTCTGTTCTTTTAGTTGGGTATTATAAAGATGAAGGCTGGAAACACGAAAATATGTGGTCAAAATAATTTTAGCTATCTGTATAGTCATCTAAATATTAACTTTACCAGGTGAGCTCAATTTCGGCTATCTATATAGTCTTCTATATATTTACTTTACCAGCTGATAGAGCTCAATTTCAGCTATCTGTATAGTCATCTAAATATTTACTTTACCAGCTGATACAGCGCAATTTCAGCTATCTGTATAGTCATCTAAATATTACTTTACAGGCTGATAGAGCTCAATTTCGGCTATCTGTATATTTGTCTAAATATTTACTTTACCAGCTGATAGAGCTCAATTCCAGCTTTCTGTATAGTCATCTTATATTTACTTTACCAGCTGATAGAACTAAATTTTAGCTATCTGTATAGTCATCTTATATTTACTTTACCAGCTGATAGAGCTCAATTTCAGCTATCTGTATATTCATTTCAATATTTACTTTACTAGCTGATAGAACTGAATATCAGCTATCTGTATAGTCATCTAAATATTTACTTTACCAACCGATAGAGCTCAATTCCAGCTTTCTGTATAGTCATCTTATATTTACTTTACCAGCTGATAGAGCTCAATTTCAGCTATCTGCATAGTCATCTAAATATTTGCTTAACCAACTGATAGAGCTCAATTTCCGCTATCTGCATAGTCATCTAAATATTTACTTTACCAGGTGATAGAGCTCAATTTCAGCTATCTGTATAATCATCTAAATATTTACTTTACCAGCTGATAGAGCTCAATTTCAGCTATCTGTATAGTCATCTAAATATTTACTATACCAGCTGATAGAGCTCAATTTCAGCTATCTGTATAGTCATCTAAATATTTACTATACCAGCTGATAGAGCTCAATTTCAGCTATCTGTATAGTCATCTAAATATTTACTATACCAGCTGATAGAGCTCAATTTCAGCTATCTGTATAGTCATCTAAATATTTACTTTACCAGCTGATAGAGCTCAATTTTGGCTATCTGTATAGTCATCTAAATATTTACTTTACAGGCTGATAGAGCTCAATTTCGGCTATCTGTATAGTCATCTAAATATTTACTTTACAGGCTGATAGAGCTCAATTTCAGCTATCTGTATAGTCATCTAAATATTTACTTTACCAGCTGATAGAACTAAATTTTAGCTATCTGTATAGTCATCTTATATTTACTTTACCAGCTGATAGAGCTCAATTTCAGCTATCTGTATATTCATTTCAATATTTACTTTACTAGCTGATAGAACTGAATATCAGCTATCTGTATAGTCATCTAAATATTTACTTTACCAACCGATAGAGCTCAATTCCAGCTTTCTGTATAGTCATCTTATATTTACTTTACCAGCTGATAGAGCTCAATTTCAGCTATCTGCATAGTCATCTAAATATTTGCTTAACCAACTGATGGAGCTCAATTTCCGCTATCTGCATAGTCATCTAAATATTTACTTTACCTAGGCTCAATTTCAGCTATCTGTATAATCATCTAAATATTTACTTTACCAGCTGATAGAGCTCAATTTCAGCTATCTGTATAGTCATCTAAATATTTACTATACCAGCTGATAGAGCTCAATTTCAGCTATCTGTATAGTCATCTAAATATTTACTTTACTGGCTGATAGAGCTCAATTTCGGCTATCTGTATAGTCATCTAAATATTTACTTTACCAGCTGATAGAGCTCAATTTCGGCTATCTGTATAGTCATCCAAATATTTACTTTATCAGCTGATAGGGCTCAATTTCAGCTATCTGTATAGTCATCGAAATATTTACTTTATCAGCTGATAGGGCTCAATTTCAGCTATCTGTATAGTCATCGAAATATTTACTTTATCAGCTGATAGGGCTCAATTTCAGCTATCTGTATAGTCATCTAAATATTTACTTTACCAGCTGATAGAGCTCAATTTCAGCTATCTGTATAGTCATCTAAATATTACTTTACCAGCTGATAGAGCTCAATTTCGGCTATCTGTATAGTCATCTAAATATTTACTTTACAGGCTGATAGAGCTCAATTTCGGCTATCTGTATAGTCATCTAAATATTTACTTTACCAGCTGATAGAGCTCAATTTCGGCTATCTGTATAGTCATCTAAACATTTACTTTACCAGCTGA